TCTCCTCTGGCCTTCTGCGAGCCTACTGTCGTGCACGAGGCATCCGTCAGACCTTCACGCTTCCGGACTCTCCGCAGCAAAATGGGATTGCAGAGCGCCGCATTGGCATGGTCATGGACGTCGCTCGTACGTCTATGATGCATGCGGCTGCCCCCCATTTTCTGTGGCCGTTTGCGGTCAGGTACGCGGCGCATCAGATCAACCTCCACCCCAGGGTCTCCAGGCCGGAGACCTCCCCAGCCCTGCTGTGGACGGGGAAGGTTGGTGATGCGTCGGCGTTCCGGGTCTGGGGATCTCGGGCGTTTGTCCGCGACTTGTCTGCGGACAAGCTGTCCCCTCGCGCTGCTCCCTGCGTCTTCCTGGGGTTCCCCCCCGACGCCCCTGGGTGGCAGTTCTACCACCCCACCTCTCGACCTGTTCTGTCATCCCAGGACAGTCACGTTCGACGAGTCGGTACCCTACTACCGCCTCTTCCCCTACCGCACTCCGTCCCTCCCCCCGCCCCCGCTCTTCTTGGTACTAGGTCCCCCCCCGGTAGACCCCCTCCCCCCTCAGGGTCCTGCCCCTTCAGGTGTGTCCCAGGTAGACGCGGTCGAGCCTGTCGAGGTCACTGGTGACTCTGGAGCTGCTGCGGGAGCTGAGCCTGGGGGTGCTGGGACTGGAGGTGCTACGCTTGGGGGTTCGGAGTCTGGGGGTGCTGAGCCTGGGGGTGCTGAGCCTGGGGGTACTGAGTCTGGGGGTGCTGAGCCTGGGGGTGCTGGGCCTGGGGGTGCTGAGCCTGGGGGTGCTGAGACTGGGGGTGCTCCGCCTTGAGGTGCTTTGCCTGAGGGTGCTGAGCCTGGAGGTTCTTCACCTGGAGGTTCTCCGCCTGGAGGTGCTTCGTCTCGCCGAGAGCCACTCTCCCCACAGGAGCTGCGTGAGTGGTTTGCCCGGCGCTGGAGGCATGCTGCTGGTGCTGGAGGTTCTTCGACTGCAGAGGGTGCTGCTGCCGCGCGTCCCGGAGGTGCTCGTACTGGGGGTACTGGAGCTGCTGGGCCTGAGGGTTCTTCTGGAGCTGGTACTGCTGAGGGTGTTGGCGCTGAGACTACCGCTGACGGTCCGGCTGGCAGTGCTCTTCGTGCTGCTGGGGGTTCTGGGGCTTCTGGAGGTGCTGCTGGGGGTTCTGGAGCTACTGGAGGTGCTGCTGGAGGTGCTGCTGGAGGTGCTGCTGGAGCGGGTACTCCTGTTGGGGGTACTGGTCCTGTCCCTGCTGTTTTTGGAGTCGCCACGCGGCCCCGACCGTACTTCGTTCCGCTCCTGCAGCAGGTTCTTGGTCTTACACCTTCTCCTGGTCCTCCTTCTCCTCCCTTAGAGGGTCCACAGCCTGTCCACTCACAGCCTGCCTCCCCTTTGCCTGCTCCTTCTCCCTACGCTGGTCCGACTGGAGGTCTTACTGAGCGTCGTGAGCCTGCGTCTTGTCCTGCGTCGCCTGTTCGTACTGCGCGCACTAGTGGTCGCGGTTCGCGTCAGCGTCCTCCTCCTGTCCCTGGCACGCACCGGATGTCTCTGCGTCCGTCCACTGCTCCTCTGCGTGCCCCTTTGCCTTCTCCTCCTGCTTCCTCTCTTCCTGCTCTTGCCGACCCGAAGTCGGACTCTCTTCGTGCTGCCAGTCCTACTGTCACGCGTCTCCTTGCTACTGCTGTCACTGACCCTTCTTTCGAGTCTTCTACTGCGTCTGCCCTTGTCACTGAGCTCGTCGACTTTGCTGCGCGCTGTCGTCTAGACTACGCTGCTAGTCTTGTCGCTGAGTCTGAGTCTACCTGTCCTCCGTCCGTCGGGGGTGAGTGTGCCCTTGGCACGGACGTACTTGAGGACAGGCAGGAGGAGTTCCAGTGTCTGGCCGCCGCCTCACCTTATCTCGCGTCTGTACTGCTAGCCCCTGAGGGAGACCCGGATGCACTAGACATCCCGACTCCGCGCTCTTACGCGGAGGCGATAGAGGGTCCCTACTCCTCTGAGTGGCAAGCAGCTTTGGATGCAGAGATGGCTTCCTGGAAGTCCACAGGCACCTACGTTGACGCTGTTCCCCCTCCTGGGGCGAACATAGTCAGTGGCATGTGGATCTTCAGGGTGAAGCGGCCGCCGGGTTCTCCGCCTGTCTTCAAGGCGCGTTACGTGGCTCGTGGCTTCAGTCAGCGGCAGGGAGTTGACTACTTTCAGACCTTCTCCCCCACCCCGAAGATGACCACTCTTCGGGTACTGCTGCACGTTGCTGCTCACGTGACTACGAGCTGCACTCTCTCGACTTCAGCACTGCTTTCTTGCAGGGCAGCCTGCACGAGGAGATCTGGCTGCGTCGCCCACCTGGCTTTACTGCATCTTTCCCTCCTGGTACCCAGTGGAGTCTCCGGCGTCCAGTCTACGGTCTCCGCCAGGCGCCACGTGAGTGGCACGACACACTGAGGACTACGCTGGCGGAACTTGGGTTTGCTCCTTCTACTGCCGACCCGTCGCTGTTTCTGCGCACCGACACCTCTCTGCCGCCGTTCTACATCCTCGTGTACGTCGACGACTTGGTCTTTGCCACAGCTGACACTGCTGGACTCGCCTACGTGAAGTCCGAGCTGCAGAAGAGACACACGTGCACTGACCTGGGTGAGCTGCGCAGCTACCTTGGCTAGCAGATCACCCGGGACAGAGCACGCCGCACCATTACCCTGACTCAGTCACACATGGTGCAGCAGGTCCTTCAGCGCTTCGGCTTCACGTACTCCTCGCCTCAGGCCACTCCTCTGCCTACTCGCCACTCACTCTCAGCTCTGCCTTCGGATGAGTCCGTAGAGTCGAGTGGCCCGTATGCAGAGCTTGTTGGCTGCCTCATGTACCTGATGACCTGCACTCGACCTGACCTTGCATACCCTCTTAGCATTCTCGCACGCTATGTTGCTCCTGGGAGACACCGACCAGAGCACATGGCTGCAGCGAAGAGGGTGTTGCGCTACTTGTGCAGTACGTCGGGCATGGGGCTAGTGCTTGGAGGGCGCAGTCCAGTGGTCCTCACTGGGCACGCGGACGCTTCTTGGGCTGACGACCAGGCTACGCAGCGGTCGTCACAGGGTTACACCTTCAGCCTTGGTTCCGGCTCTGTTTCGTGGCGGGCTACCCGCTCGTCTTCTGTTCTCGGCTCCAGTTGTGAGGCTGAGATCTACGCCGGGGCTATGGCTGCCCAGGAGCTTCGCTGGCTCACCTACCTGCTGACCGACCTTGGAGAGCCGCCTCGTTCTCCTCAAGTCCTGTACGTAGACAACAAGGCAATGCTGGCCTTGTGTCGAGAGCAGCGACTGGAGCACAGGACAAAGCACATTGCTCTATGATACTTTCTTGCTCGTGAGCTACAGCAGCGTGGACAGTTGCGACTTGCGTACTTGGCCTTTGAGGCCAACACTGCTGATGTCTTCACCAAGGCACTTGCGCCTTGTGATCATCAGCGTTGCTGCACGCAGCTGGGTCTTGTGCCTGTCTTGCCTCACTTGCTCACTTCTTGACCTTGCTTGTACCTTCACCTAGATATACTCTTGCTCTTGCTTGCTTGACTCTTGTATATCTCTATATATGATCTTGCATGTGAACTGGCCTTCTGGCCTTTGAACTTGTGCTCGGAATGTGTGGTGACTTTGTGATCCACCCTGAGCTTTGCTTTGCTTTGCTTGACTGGTCTTGTGACCCCTTGTTCTCCCCCACTTTGCCTATGGGGGTGTGTCAGAACATTATAGCTTATGCTGTTGTGTAGGCTATAGTGGGGTATCCCATAGGGGGTACAACCCAATTAGGGTTTCATATTTGTACTCACTTCATTCATAGTTCATTCATTCTCTCGTTCACTTCTTCTCACTCTTGTCAGTCGCAAACGCGCCGTTATGTCTGGTGTGGTTGGTATAGCCTGTGGCGAGAAACGATTGTTGGCACCGGACGACCAAACGGGTCTGGTTACACTCGGGCGAGATGGCGCAGTGCTGGACGACACCGCGATCGAAAGCGACTCCGATGAACCTGTCGCGAAGTTCCAGGAGCTAGTCGATTGGATGCAAGCCATGAAGGCACAGGGCATCCTGCCTGCCGAGTTGTTGCGTAAGAAAGCCAAAAGGGGCAGCATGGCAAAGACGAGTAACAACGGTGGAACACCTATTCCTACCCCTGCTCCGCCAGTCACTGCGGCTGCTACTCTTCCTTCCGCAACAGAAAATTTACCCTCGGCCCTTAATCTGACTGGGCCGTTAGAAGACGCAGCAGAAGGCGCCACGGAGGCCGTGGAGCATCTTAACGCTCACAGGCCTCCCAGTTATCTCTCGGGCTCGCACAGGTATGAACACGTTAGTCTTCTCCCTTTCCTGTTATTTAACTAAGGTTCGTACTTGGCGAGTATAGTTTCACGCTCAACCACAACTCAACATGCATTTACTGTCATGTTTGTTCCTCGCCATGCCTGCCGATGTCTAATCCCGCACCTTGCACCTGTTTTTTTCTTCCACAAATAGAAGTTGCTTCAGTGAGAACACAAGCAGAGCTTCGTCTTCGTGCTGAGAATGAAGACCTGCAATCCACGCTCAAGCTGACACAAGAGCGCGCAATCGACCTCCAAATCGCCCTGGACGATAAAGAGGCTGCATACGTAGCGCTCAATCTGCGCTACGACGAGTTGTCCGCTCTGGTCGTTGCACTCCGGCAGCAAATCATCAACAACGGCGAGGAGCAAAGGCAAACCCTGAACTTGGCGATGATCCTGTCTTTCGACTTGCAGCAGTTACCACATGACCAGAACGGCAGCATCTTGGTCCCTACAACACTTGAACAAGACCATTTGTTTTCGGCGAGTTTTTTCGCGGTTCTGTTTTGAGATAGGATATACTGCCTATAATTGTTTGATAATGTTTAAGCAATCGCATCTCCCTGTCTTTCTTTTATTAACACTGTCACTCGGAATGCCCTGACTGCAGAAAAAGGCGCTCGAGGCTTTCACGTTCATGACGACCGCCGCGCCTGCGTGGAGGATGAAGTTCTACCCTCAGTGGCCCGAGCTGAGAGAAATGATGGCAGAGAAGTACGCGGAAGCTGGCGTGGGGAAGGGCATATTCTACTATGTCATCTCCATGTTCCCTGAAAATGAAAACCTGGCCATGCGCAAGGCGTTAGAGCGGCGGAGCAATTACAATGGCGACATCAAGACTTACGGGCGCGGCCCGGGCGGGTGCGTCCCGGAGAGTAAATGGAAGGAGTTGGCGGACGAAGGAGTGGCGCCGCAGTGCAGCAGATCCCCTTCGGAGTGGACCCTGTTCTACCTTCATGGTACTTGTGTCGTCGTCTGTTTGTTAAGGCCTCTGTTAATGCCATGGTTTTGTATTTTGCAGCAACGTGTATTGTTTGTAACCATTGTTTCCTGTTTGTTTTAACAACACACTTTGGTTCCAACTGGCACTTCAACGCTGCAACGTGTAGGCCGTTTGCCAACCGGGCATTCGAACTGATCCTGTGGCGCGGTTTTGGGAGCAAGAAGGCGACAACGATCATGGTGAAGTTCCCTGCAGTTGGCTACGCCTTGAATGTGGTGAGTGCGTCGCTATTCCAGGGGAGGGTTTAAGGTCATAACTGCCAGTCCATGAAGACTCATTTTGGTTGCTTTTCTTGATGCAGGTGGAATGGCCTCTAGCAAATGCCAGAGGGCAAGTGAACCCTGCACTCGACGGTTCCGAGACCGTGAACCAGCAGAATGTCGAGGTGAAGATCGGGCACCTGGTCACCTGGATTAGGGAGACATACGAGAACGGAGACACCGCGATCTGGGACCCGGTTGCTCTTGCTGGCTTCAGGATGTCCCCCAACGTGAAGCTATTGATTGAGGGTTATGAGTCTCAGGTGTTCCCTGCAGGATTACCCTAGGAAATTGGATGCTAAGAGTATTTTATTTAGTTTGAGGCTAGAGTGGTTATTACATGACTGCTAGGGTTACAATGCTAATCTTCAATGATAATACATCTCTGAAATAACGTGTTGTCAAATGCTCTGGAGCCGTATACTTATTATGAACAATTGTAGCTATTGAATCGATTTATCAAAAACACACTATCTAATATTTTTAAAGATTCTGGATGTTGAATACAGTACAGTCAGTGTACCACAATGTTATCATATATAAACCTGACTACAATCACAGGGCATGCGAACAGTAACGGAATGTTACTTCGATTCTAGCTCTTATTAAAAATTCGTTAGACAAAGTAACCCCTTCGTCATCGACTCGCGAGAGCGACTTGGATGGAAAAAGGTGCACTCTAAATCGCCACACAGCGATACAAACGACCCCTACTGATTACACGTGTACGCAGTCACGATGATCCACGCCAACTCCCACTCATATTCAGTGTTGAATGCGATTGACAACACGGCTGCAACTGAGTTCGAACGTGCTGAACCAGACTCTACAGTGACGCGTGTAATGAGACGCAATCCCCTGATCCACAGCAGGTACGATCCACAGTCTATTTGGGAACAATCCATCTACTATCTACGAGGTGGATGGGAAACTGAAGGAAAGGCATCACAATTAACCCAAACTTCCCCAACCCACCCCAACACACTCAGTTTTTTCGATGTTTGCTGGTTCGCTGGAAACAACCCAGTTGAGGAATCTGTTTCACTGTGAGCCAGCAAGTGTTAGGGCTATGGAGTGACTATTGATGGTTACAAGAATTTACAGTGTTGTGTGGATTGGAATGGTCGTTTTGATCTATGTAGTTGGGGGTTGAAATTGCCGAGGCACGGTTCAGATTCAGTCGGTCGGTGCTGGTTTTGGGGAATGCTCGCTCTCCCTTGCCTCTTGATGCAGTGCCTGGAAAATGCTGGCCTTGCGGAGAAGCATGGCGTTGTGTATGGCATCGAAGCTTCTTGCAATGCCCTCTACTCCACGACCTCGCGCTCTCTTTCCCTTGCCACTCTGCTACCCCTTTTTGCCTGCTATGCCCCTTAAGTGTCCAAGACTGTCGATTTCACCTCCCTTCGCCTTATTCTTCCCCCTTTTCAACCCTCCCCCTCCCCATCCGGCCCACACCCCCATACCCCATACTGTGTGCCTCAGTATGAGTCATCGCACGAGTTTCAGGCAAAGAAGCAATGGCAGCAGCAGCTGTAGCAGGCAGAGGATTTGGCAACGAAGCAGCGGGCGAGGAGGGAGGGCCCGGCTGAGGGCCGGGGGGAAAGCGGGTTTCTCCCCAGCCGCATGGGTGCCTATCCTTCTCTCTGCTTCCGCTCAGGCAGGAACAGTGGGTGGTGAGCCGGGTGGTGGGAGCGGGGAATGGGGGGGACAGAGGATGGGGACCCGGGATGGGGGGGAGGGTGGGGGGGACTGCTGGGGTGGGGGGAGAACGCCACAGGGGGGAGGCGGAGGTGGAGGCACGTCAGGAGGGGGATATGGAAGGGGTGGTAGAGGAGGGTATGGGATTGGTGGAGGATGTGTGAGTGCACTGAGCAGGGTGTGTGAGTGCACTCAGCAGGGTGTGTGATTGGAAATGGAATTGCCTCGTACTGCTCGCCCCTCCATTCCCTCCGCCCCATCCCCCCCTCATCCTCTCCTGCCCCTTCATCTCATCCGTTTTCCTTCACCCATCCCTCTACTCTCATCCCCTCCCGTTCACCCATGTTCTCGAGATCCCCTCATCCTTCTCCCTTCCCCGTCTTCCAAATCCTTCCCAGAGTGGAGGGCGATGCATCAGACAGCAGAGCACTGCCGTGAGATGGTGAGATGGTGTTCGGATGTCATTGTGATGATTGTGGATGTCGCATTGGGTGGGTGGCCTCTGATGTTACACGCGTGCATCATCACATCACAGCACACCTCAATGTTGGCGGTTGGTGGATGCATCACGCGTGTCCTGCGTGCATCAGCAGCACAAAGGCTCTTGTTGGCTAGGTGGGGTTGTTGAGCTGGTGCAGTAGTTGATACAACGTGCGAGAGGTTCAAGGTGAATGGGCGAGGTGCTCGCATGCTGTGCTGCTGCAGAAGGGGCCGTGGTGTGGTGTGGTGTGGTGTGGTGTGGTGTGCCGTCCCGTGCTGTGCCGTGCCATGCCGTGCTGTGATGTGCTATGCTGGGGCCTGAGTGGTGCAGGTTGCATGTCCACAATGGCGCCTCAAGGCGAAGGCCATCCAGGTAGCAACTGCTGCACGGGTAGCAGCTGTTGCACGGGTAGCAGCTGCTGCACGGGTAGCAGCTGTTGCACGGGTAGCAGCTGCTGCACGGGTCGCAGCTGTTGCACGGGTAGCAGTTGCTGCATGGGTAGCAGCTGCTGCACGGGTATCATTGCACGTGTAGGGCCTTGGTACTGACAGGGTAACAAGTATTGCATACAGGTAAGAACTGGCAAGGTGGCGCCGCTGACAGACGATAACTTCGCCTTCATAGGCTGTAGCGGCTACACTGCACTGCACACACTCGCTGCAGGAGCGTGTAGGGGCTACACTGCACTGCCCACACTCGCTCTGGTGCTGTCTTGATCAGCTGCTGGCTCAAAGGTTCAACCAGCGAGGCACATGTGATGGGTAAGGCACGAGGTCTGGTGGCAGACGAACCTAGTGCAAGGGACTTTGTCTGACGGACCTTTCAACTAAATGCCATACTATTTTTTTCCCAATCTACCTGTTGTTCTCTCCCCTTCCCCCCCATTCGCCGCTTTCCTCCCATTCACCACTTTTCCCCATTTCCCCATTCTAATCACCCCATTCCCCTCTTTTCCCCTACTCCCCCTTCCCCCTGTGGTTGCATAGCACGTGTGGTGAGGGATGACCTGGCGGTGGAAATGGCGGAGGTGGAACAGGGTAGTGGTGGCGGAGGGTAGCTCTGGTTTCTACTCCTCTCTTGGCCCGTCATACCCCTGCGGCCTCCCTCCTCCCCCCCTGTGCCTAACTAGCTGCTCACTTCCTAGCTGCTCACTGCCTAGCTGCTCACTGCCTAGCTGCTCACTGCCTGGCTGCTCACTGCCTGGCTGCTCACTGCCTGCCTTGCGCAGATTCAACATTACTACCCCTACCCGAACGGACTCACCACAAATGGGATTTTCCCCTCCTCTTTTTCTTCCGAGGCGGCTCATCACCTTTCGAAAGCTTTCGAAATTCTTCTGAAGCAGCCCACGCACCAGCACTGAACGAGTGTCCTCCTTGCTTGGTTTCCGAATTCTATAAAGCTGCCCCCTCCTCTCACATCACTGAATGAACCCCCTCCTTGCATCCATTCAAGAAAATTGTAGAACTGCCCAGTCACCGTCACTGAATGAATCCCCTCCTTCTTTCTGTTTTTACAGTTCTCTGAAGCTTCTTGCTCATCCATACAGAGTGAGCCCCCTACGTGCATGCACGCCCTGCCTCACAGCCCTCCATGCATGCACGCCCTGCCTCACAGCCCTCCATGCATGCACGCCCTGCCTCACAGCCCCGCCAAACCCCTGTGACATGGCCGAGTGTCTGGAGAATGAGCATTGCACGACATTTGAGGCTGCCACGAGTGCGTGCCAATGAACGGGCAAGGGTTGTGCAAGTGCAAGGCGGGGTACTGTGAGGTCAATGGCGCGTGCACTAGTGACTTTATGATTGAAGCGAGTGAAGTGGCTCAACAGTAGTTTGCTAGGAGCTCGTTAGGCATCACACCAACATCTTTCATCGCACACTCATGGCACCCTAAGCTCTCCTCTCTCTCAGCTCACCTCACCTTGAACGCACTTTTCTTGTTGATTCACCTCTTTCTCACGACAGAAACGTTTTTCATTCTCCTCGCAGTCTGAGTCATACCTCCCAGCATGCCACTCGCCCCTCTCATCCCGCCCCCCGCACCCTGTGGCAGCCATGTGCAGCTCGCTATGCAAATTCAATGCCTCCTGCGAGGTGGACAATGGCAAGGCGCTGTGCAATTGCGATGCTGGTTTCACAATGGAGAACAGCGCATGCGAGCGTGAGTGGTTGGGGTGAGGCGACATGCCTATGTCGCTTACTGACACGCAGTGCAATGTGCAAGGCGGTATGCAATGTGCAAGGCGGTGTGCAATGTGAAAGGTGGTGGGCAATGTGGCTGACACCTATCACTTCCCGCTTGTTCTTTCATTGAATACTCGCAGGAAGTCCTATTTCTTATCCCACTAACTATCCCGCTAACTATCCCGTGGACCAATGCTGTCTCTTGCTGTCCTCCATACCTCTCCCGCTCCCCTTCCCACACTGTTTAACAGCCGCATGCATGCAGCTCGCCATGCCAAGAGCTGGCCAGCTGTCAGATGGAGAATGAGAATGGTGGACCATTGCAATGATTGAAATGGAAAGCAGCGTTGCTTGCAGGCGGACCCTAGTGCGAGCTACGCGACAGTGAACAAAACGTGCTGGAAATGGGGTGGCAAGGGCCTTAGCGGGCTTGACAAACGAGCAGGATTTCAGCGTACACGGTAAATTTGTGGACCAACTCTGATATTCAGCCTAGCCCAAAACCAATCTGCGGGCCTCGTGAGCGCGACCTAGGTACTTGTGTCCTACAATAACACTCTTTTTTCCATAAGGCTATAAAAAATAAGGGTGCATAACCAAAACCAGCTTCAGTGTCATAAGGGTGAACCTCTGTTAGCCAGAGGATTGCAACACGGGGATCTTGATCCTAGTAGCACCAAAAACCTTGCATATCCAAGGGCTCGGGCCAAAGTACATGTAATCATTTTGCGCAGAGTAAGGCACAGCATATCTGCGAGACAATACGAATAAATCTACACGCATCAGCAAAGCCGTGTTAGTCCGTAAGGTAACTGCGAAATGGGCGAAGATTGAGGTAGACAAAGATCCGCACCTGTATTTCTCGCCTGCTGCCTGAAATTTTGCCAGCAGTGTTGCACCCTTGTAATTGCACTTCTTATAGGCTTCTTCGGAAGGAAACCGATACAGCCTCTTTACCTCAATGTATCCCCCATTCTCAAACACTATGGTCAGGGATTAAGAGTACAAAAAGGGAACCAGACACGATCAGGGAAAGAGTTGAAATGAGGACAGGGAAGAAAGGGAAGGAACAGAGGTGAAAGCACGAGAGGGGGAGAGTGAAGGATGGAGCGAGAGCCTACTTGGCTGGAAAAAATCCCTGGCTGCCCAACAGTGCTGAGGAGTGAAGTTAAAAACACCAAGGAAACAAAACAAAGAGAGACGGAGGGGGGAAATAAGGGAGCGAGGGAGTGCGGGAGGGAGAGATAAGGGAGCGAGGGAGTGCGGGAGGGAGAGATAAGGGAGGGAGGGAGAGCGAGGGGGAGAGATAAGAGAGAGAAGGAGTGCGAGGAGGAGAGATGAGCGAGGGATTGCGAGGGGGGGAGAGAGAGACATACCAATGGTATCATAATCGGTCGTCTTGCTCCTCTTGCCCCACTCAGCTCCCATTCCAAGTACGATATGAAACGTCTTACCCTGTAGTAACAAAAGGCAGCGGGAAGGGTCTTGTCATTTAGGAGCGGATGAGTGCAGAGCAGAGAGAAATGATTCAGGCCATTCGATTAGTTTCGGGTTCAGGAGTAATTCTCCTTGAGAAGGGAAACCCTAAAGTACTTCGCGCGTGCGAATCATTTTCCTTCGGTGTCATGCCATGAACCTCAAGGGAAACCCGAAAGTAATTCTCCTAGAGTGCGCAAAGTATTGTTCGATTAGTACTCTTAGTCCTGATGTAACCCTGTAAGGCACGCTCACGCGCCTTCGGATCACCGGCAGGCTTGCTGGTAGCGGCGTTGCCGCCACTAGCGGTGGCATTGCCAGGAGTGGCGGTGGTGGGAGTGGTGGGCGCCAAACGCACAGCTTCTGAACCTGCGCACACACGAATAGTGACGGCCCGTCAGACATGAGAGATCGAGAGTTTGGCGATACTGAGGTGCATAGATGAGGTGCATACATGAGGTGCATACATGAGGTGCATACCTGAGGTGCATACATGAGGTGCATAGATGAGGTGCACAGATGAGGTGCATACATGAGGTGCATACATGAGGTGCATAGATGAGGTGCATACATGAGGTGCATACATGAGGTGCATAGATGAGGTGCATAGATGAGGTGCATACATGAGGTGCATACATGAGGTGCATACATGAGGTGCATAGATGAGGTGCATAGATGAGGTGCATAGATGAGGTGCATACATGAGGTGCATAGATGAGGTGCATAGATGAGGTGCATACATGAGGTGCATAGATGAGGTGCATACATGAGGTGCATACATGAGGTGCATACATGAGGTGCATAGATGAGGTGCATACATGAGGTGCATAGATGAGGTGCACAGATGAGGTGCATACATGAGGTGCATACATGAGGTGCATAGATGAGGTGCATACATGAGGTGCATACATGAGGTGCATAGATGAGGTGCATAGATGAGGTGCATACATGAGGTGCATACATGAGGTGCATACATGAGGTGCATAGATGAGGTGCATAGATGAGGTGCATAGATGAGGTGCATACATGAGGTGCATACATGAGGTGCATAGATGAGGTGCATACATGAGGTGCATAGATGAGGTGCATACATGAGGTGCATACATGAGGTGCATACATGAGGTGCATAGATGAGGTGCATACATGAGGTGCATACATGAGGTGCATACCTGAGGTGCATACATGAGGTGCATACATGAGGTGCATACATGAGGTGCATACATGAGGTGCATACATGAGGTGCATACATGAGGTGCATACATGAGGTGCATAGATGAGGTGCATACATGAGGTGCATACATGAGGTGCATAGATGAGGTGCATAGATGAGGTGCATACATGAGGTGCATAGATGAGGTGCATAGATGAGGTGCATAGATGAGGTGCATACATGAGGTGCATAGATGAGGTGCATAGATGAGGTGCATAGATGAGGTGCATAGATGAGGTGCATAGATGAGGTGCATACATGAGGTGCATAGATGAGGTGCATACATGAGGTGCATAGATGAGGTGCATACATGAGGTGCATAGATGAGGTGCATAGATGAGGTGCATACATGAGGTGCATACATGAGGTGCATACATGAGGTGCATACATGAGGTGCATAGATGAGGTGCATATACAGGTGCGGCATAATGCACGAGAATGCTTCAGCAAGGCGGAAGGAATCATGTGAGGGCTGCTGGAGACAAGGCGTTTTTGCGATCCACCTTTTTTCACAGTTTTTCTTGAGAACATCACATGGTTAAAGCTTTCCTACACACTCTACTGGCCTTCTAGTAAATATGAGCGGAGATGGGTGAGAATGCTTAAGCGAGGCGGAAGGAGTGCGGGAGCAAGCAAAAGAGCGAGAAAGTGTGAGGGGGTATCGTACGGTGGGTGGACTTACCACTCTGGCAGAGCAGAACGAGAATAACAGAAGCAACCAAGCCGAGAGCGCGAAGCCGCGCCATAGCGCAGGAGTGATGATGTGGCACCGAAGTGACTACTACTGCCTGCCTCGAGCTTCTAATAACAGGAGGTCCTAAGCCGTCGCGGTTGAAACAAAGTAGAGGAAAAGAGTTCGACTGTTAGATCTTCGCAGATTCACGCGATCGACACTGGCACCGCCTCTCGTTAATCCTTGGAGCACGGGCGTCGCTGGCATCCCGAACCTCTGTCCGCCCTCGCCTGTCAGCCTGCAGGTGACCCTCTGTAGTAACGCCTATGGGCTGTGTTGAAGGACATCCGCTGCGCACGAATAAAAAACAATGTTATGTCCCAATGGGTAGCGAGGGTGTTATAAACCTCGCACTGGTTGTTGTTGCACGACATGCGGCGAGTTCGGTTCGCGTTCGTGCTCGGCGCGCGAAGTGCCGAATCACCCGTACTAGTGGTTGTTGTCGCACGCGAGGGTTGTATCGCACGTCATGGCTGTTGTGTTCGGTGCGCATTCGTGCTCGGGCACGCCGGGCCATAAAGGGACCGTCGCATTGCCCAGCGTGCCGAGGATTCACGTGAAACCCCGGCAAGCGACGTTCGTCAACGCCCCATAGTTGGCACAGCCTGCGCCTGGCTGGGCAGTGTTGATGCTAGGACGCGTCACAATTGCAACACCGATCCCCTAGGGGATCGATGTTTGGGGTGTACAGTACTTCGTAGATCTTTGTATCCTTATTTCGCAAAGTTTCGCCAAGACTAGAGTCACGTCACCAAGGGAGATGTCTCTTCCTGATCGATCTGTCACCGTACCCAAATCAAGCGTAATCATTTACATCTTTCCGAAACGTTTCTAACCCCGCACGATCAGGTTCGTGAGGACGATCGTGACACATGTGGCTCGGAGGAGATTGATATTCACAGCTTCGGTGTGCGACTTGATCCTGTCAAACATTATATATGTTGTGATTGTTTAGGCTACAGTGGGTTAGCCTATAGGGAGTACACAATTCTAGGGTTAGGTACTTGTACTGCTTTCACTGTTACTTCAACCATTCCTGCTTGTTCATTTCAACATGGTATAGAGCAGGTCCTTCGCTAGGACCGTTTTTAGGGCCCACCACTACCTACCTACCTAACTGCGCCCTAGGGCGCCTCGTTTTTCATCGCCCCTAGAGGCCCCGATCGGCCCCGCGCTCGCCCTTAGCGGCCCCTTACGGCCCCGCGCTCGCCTTTAGCGGCCCCTTACGGCCCAGCGCTCGCCCCTAGAGGCCCCGATCGGCCCCGCGCTCGCCCTTAGCGGCCCCTTCGACCCCGCGCTCGCCTTTAGCGACCCCTTACGGCCCCGCGCTCGCCCCTAGAGGCCCCGATCGGCCCCGCGCTCGCCCTTAGCGGCCCCTTACGGCCTCGCACTCGCCCTTAGAGGCCCCGATCGGCCCCACGCTCGCTCCTAGAGGCCCCGAACGGCCCCACCCAGAACGAGCCGCCCGACCCGAGCAGCCCGAACCGAGCCGCCCAGCCCGAACCGAGCCGCCCGAACCGAGCCGCCCAGCCCAAACCGAGCCGCGCCGCCTGAACCTAGCCGCGCCGCCCATACCGAGCCGCGCCGCCCTACCTGAACCGAGCCGCGCCGCCCGTACTGTACCGAGCCGCCCTACCTGTCTTTGGGGTGCCCCTACTGTTTTTCCTCCTACTGCTGCTATTACTCTTACTACTGCAATGGCTAGCCCTCCTGTGCTAGCTTTCTATGCTGAGGGCCGCCCAGTGAAGTTCGAAACCTGGCTTGATGACCTACACCTCTTCCTACAGCTCACTGCCAAGGAAGACATCTCACTGTACGATCACGCCCTAGGCCACGCTACTGCTCCTGCTGCTACTGCTGACAGCACTGCCCGCTCACAGTGGCAGACTCGTGACGCCCACGCTCACTTCGCTATTCGCAACTCCCTGCCGATAGATGAGCGCGAGCACTTTGGGCAGCACAAGACTGCACAGGCACTGTACACTGCTGTCGTTGCCCGCTACTCCTCACCGGCCTCTGCCGCACTAGGCCGTCTCTCTCTTCCCTACCTGTTCCCCGACTTAGCCTCGTTCCACATAGTCGCTAACCTCATTACGCACCTCCGCACTAGTGAGGCTCGCTTCCGCGCCGCCATGCCTGATGAGTTCCTTGCCAAGAACCCACCCCCGCTCTGGCTCACTCTCTACCACCTAGTCACCCGCCTCCCTGACACTCTGCGCTCAGTCAAGGACCACTTCCTAGCTCGCTGCCCCACTGAGCTCACCATTGCCCTCCTCGAGAAGGAACTCCTTGCAGCTGAGGCTAGCATAGTCGCTGTAGGTGCCTCTCGTGGCGACCCCCGTACCCCGTTCTTTGAGGGGTGTTCTCCTTCCCCCCTTCTTCCCTCTGTCGCCTCTGCTGCTGCTGTCGACCTCCTTGGTGCTGAGAAGGTCGGGACTGCGTCTGCTTCGAGCGGGCGCCGCAACGGCAAGGGCAAAGGGGGCAAGGGCGGTGGCGGTGACAGCGGGGGAGGCGGTGGTGGGGGAGGTGGTGGCGGTGGGGGTGGTGGCGCGACTGGAGGGGCAGGTGGCAGCGGTGGGTGTGGTGACGGCAGCGGCGGGGGAGGTGGCCGGGGCGGAGGTGGTGGTGGGGGTGGCGGTGGACGCGGCGGCGGCAGGGGTTGGGGTGGTCGAGGAGGTGGCGGCGGCGGTGGTGGTCGTGGAGGCGCTGGCGGTGGCCAGGGCCAGCAGCACACTCCGTCGCCCCAGGAGGTCCGTGAGTGGTACTCTCAGCACGGGGGGGGGGGGAGGGGGGGGGGGTGACTTTAGCTGCACGTACGTCATTCGCACTGGTGACCGCACTGGCCAGCCGTGTGGGGGACCGCATGCCACACAGCTTTGCTTCGCTCGTCTCAACGAAGCTTGGCGTGTTCAGTTCCCTCAGGCCACTGAGCTGCCCCGCTGGGTTGATCTCCTGAAGAAGGGGATTGATATCTATGCTCTAGACTTTGATGCTATTCTCACTGCTATGTATGTGATGTCTACTAGTGGAGAGGGTGCTGCGTACCTGTGTGTCCCGCCCGACCCGGGCATTAGGACTAGTGCGTCTGCCGCTCCAGGTACTCGCGTGTCTGCTACCCCAGGTGCTGGTGAGGCAGCTGCTCTAGGTGCTTCTGCGTCTGCCCCCCCTAGTACTGAGTCGACTACAGCACTGCACACCTTCACGCTGGACTCAGGTGCTTCTCGCTGCTTCTTTCGTGACCGCACTGCCCTTGAGCCACTTGCTCGGCCAGTTGCTGTCTCCCTCGCTGACCCCTCTGGGGGTCCGGTCATTGCGACCTCCTCCACTGTCCTTCCCTGTCCTGCGGTCCCGTCGGGCACACTGTCAGGTCTCCACCTCCCCTCGTTCTCTACGAACTTGGTGGCAGGTTGTGCACTCCAGGATGGGGGTGTTCACCAGTTCACCCCTGCCTACGAGCGTGTGACACACTGCACGTGTGCTCGTACGTGCCGTCACTTGGCTACCTTCACTCGGCAGCCAGGGTCAGACCTGTACACACTGACTACCGCGTCCCCTCAGGTCGTTGCGTCTGCGTCTGCGTCCGCGTCCGCGTCAGGTCAGCTATCTGCCCCCTGCTCGTGTCGCTCTCTGGCGCACGAGACTGTCCTCTGGCACCACCGACTTGGCCACCCGTCTGTGCAGCGCCTTCGTGCCATGCACTCCCGGTACCTTGTCTCTGGTCTTCCCAGGGTCCTCCCTCCCCTCCCACCCTCGCCTGCTCCTCCCTCTCTTCCCTGTGTCGAGGGGCGGCAGCGCGCCGCTCCTCACTCCTCCTCGTTTCCCCCGACAACTGCTCCTTTGCAGACGCTCCACATGGACGTGTGGGGCCCAGCCCGCGTCCGTGGTCAGGGTCAGGAGAGGTACTTCCTGATAGTTGTTGACGACTACTCGCGCTACACCACGGTCTTCCCCTTGCGCACCAAGGGTGAGGTCCCTGATGTCTTGATCCCTTGGATCCGTAGAGCCCGTCTCCAGCTCAGCGAGCGTTTCACTCGGACTTTCCTGTCCTGCGCTTGCACTCTGACAGAGGTGGTGAGTTCTCCTCCTGACCTCTTGGCAGCCTACTGTGCTGAGCACGGCATTTAGCAGTCGTTCACGCTTCCGGCCTCTCCACAGCAGAATGGGGTTGCGGAGCGCCGCATTGGCCTGGTCATGGAGGTCGCCCGTACCTCCTTGATCCATGCGGCTGCCCCCCACTTTCTGTGGCCGTTTGCGGTCCGGTACGCTGCGCATCAGCTCAACCTCTGGCCCTGTGTCTCCTTGCCGGAGACCTCGCCCACACTGCTGTGGACGGGGGAGGTTGGCGATGCGTCGCGTTTCCGGGTCTGGGGATCTCTAGCCTTTGTCCGCGATACGTCTGCGGACAAGCTCTCCTCCCGTGCTGTTCCCTGCGTCTTCCTCAGCTTTGTCTCGGACGCGCCTGGTTGGCAGTTTTACCACGCCACCTCGCGCCGGGTCTTGCCCTCTCAGGACGTCACTTTTGACGAGTCCGTCCCCTACTACCGCCTCTTCCCCTACCGCACTGCCCCGCTCCCCCCCCCCCCTCTCTTCCTCGCGCTAGGTGCTGCTGTCGTAGACCCCCTACCCCCTCAGGGTGCCACTCCCTCAGGTGTGTCTCAGGTAGACCCGGTTGAGCCTGTTGAGGTTACTGTCGACTCTCGTCCTGCTGGGGTTGCGGAGCCTGGGGGTGCGGAGACTGGGGTTGCTGAGCCTGGGGTGCGGAGACTGGGGGTGCTGAGCCTGGGGGTCCGGGGCCTGGGGGTGCTGAGACTGGGGGTGCTGAGCCTGGGGGTGCGTGGCCTGGGGGTGCTGAGCCTGGGGGTGCGGGGCCTGGGGGTGCTGAGCCTGGGGGTGCTGAGCCTGGGGGTGCTGAGCCTGGGGGTGCTGATCCGCAGCGTCAGGAGTCTGGGGGTTCTGAGTCTGGAGGTGCTGAGCCAGGGGGTCCTACACCTGGAGGAGCCGTCTCCTCGGAGC